TACTACTACTACTACTACTACTACTACTACTACTACTACTACTACTATTACTATTACTTCTACTAGTATTATTATTTATTACTACTACTTTTTCGTTTATTAATTCTTGTAAAATTGTAATGTAAAGCGGGCTTTTGAATGCATTTTTTGTGCAGGATAACGGGGCTCGGAGATCACGATGGTAATATCAAGTGTGTAGAATGCATTCTCGGAACGCATTCTTCAGCCGACTGGTTTTCATGTCGTGTCTCGTCTCGATATGCTATCGATGTGTGTTGTACGTACGTGTATTCTTGTACATACAGATAATAATGCGTACCATACGATATCCACAATACGTATTTACCGGGGGGCATACGGGCGTAGAGAAAGTTGCGCGCGGGAATTGACCGACAGGAAATGACTCAGACGCGCGCGGTAGATTTTCATTCAACGCAATGCCGCATATGGATAACCAGGCCCTCGGGTCAACCCGTAACTATAATACGCACATATAATATATTATAGTATTATACGCGCGCATTCCATCGGAGGCGGCGGTGTCGGTTCATACTATAATACTATTATGTATGTATAACGTATTGATGCGCATGCGCACATGTGACATATTTACCATTGCCGCCGCGTGTATGACGTGTACTACGTTTACGATATGACGCTCGTCCGTCGCGTGTGTATAGTACTTACTACAACTATTTTAATAACACGATAATAAATTATAATAATAATAACGTCCGGGGCCAGGGCTGGGTATCAGTCGAAATTGTGATGTCACGCTTTTCACTGTTGACTCCTGGATCGTTGAACCTCTATAGGGTCGCAAAGCTCATTTTATAATTGCATTATTTTTGTTTTCGGGGCTCGTATAACTTGAAAATTTAATTTTTAATGTCTGCATGATAGGTTGGTATATACTAGTATAAGGGGGGAAGACTGTATTATATGTATATAACACGGTCGAGAATGGGGTACATACTTGATTTTTGAAAGCCCTTCAGTTCAGGCGGTATTTTTACGACTTTTACGCCATCCAAATATTAATATAATATCACGCTTGAGACATCCAAAGTACTTATGTACTTACATAGCTGGCAACGCACGCATTTAAAAAATATTACAATTTTTTTTAAACCATCCTTGTTAATCTTTTTAACGCACTTTTTATGTATGAATATTTTGAAATATTTTATTAGAAAGAAAAAAAATGTGTTCATATTATTCAACTTAATGATCCTTGTAGGGTCATAGCTACCATACACAATAATTTCCATACTTCCCTATCGAATGCTAGTTCAATTGATACATTTCTGTCCACTGTTTAGATATTTTTTTCTACTGAATCTTTTTAACTCTTTTAATAAATGTTGTTAAATAAAAATATGTACCTAACAAATTGTGACTATTACAATTTTATTATTTAATTCTTTAATAGTCTATTTATGTTACTATTAACTGTTAACCTTTTTGATACATAATATTTGTGCTATTTTAACCACCAAATTTCATAGCTACGACATCTACTGTTTCATGTCCTATAGTTGAGCTTTGCATAACTCGAGAAATTTCCACATTGATCACATTGTTACGAATAATACCATGATAACATTAATTCAATTATCAGAATTACATGACACGACAGACGACTAACTGTAAACTCGGCTTTGAACAATATTTTATTTATAATGTTGAAAAATGGTTTGATCATGAAAATAATTGTATTTTATTGTTATTAAATGTATAACGCACAAGTAATAGATACAAACTAAAAAAGATTTTTTCCACAATTCGTTTATGTTGTAATTCCACTCTATGAAGCCCTAAAATATTGCTTCACGAAGTTTTTGATTACCTTTTTATCTTAATAAATATTATGTTAAAGTTTATACCTAATGTTAGTACTTAATATAACATTTATATTTATTAATGTCTACAGAAAGAGTACTTTTATAAACATAATCACATAAATATACATAGAAAAATAATTAAAATTACTTTAATGAATATTAATCTTACGAAGACGACTTGTATGTATAACATGTAACTGCCATATTTGTAATATAAATAATTATTTGTCAGACTCGCTATAAAATTTCTTCCTAGAGCAATAATATATATAGTATATACCTATATAAATTATGATTTTTCAAACATTTAATTTTTTTGAAACTAAAATTTGTACTTATTGTTTTATGTTTTGTGATTTTCCTGTTGTGCGTGTTAGATTGCGAAAATGGAAGTAAAGAATATTGTTCTCATCGTTCTCTTCATAAATAATTTCATAATAATTTCTTATTTAATTTTTCTATAAAGAATTAAACATTAGTTTTAAAAAGTAATTTCGTCTCCCCATCATAAAGTACTGTGTACCCTTAAACTATAATTTTGGGAATTATGAGTATACAATGTACTCGTATGCGATACGTATGTAATGTCAAATGTGTATACGAGCAATATCAATATCTTCGTCAGGCTAAATCAAATTAATTACTTCTTACACATTCTTCACTATATAGAAATGTATGTTCATAGTTCCTACATTTCATACTTGTAAAATTTCCCCTTTTTTCATATTTTCTTATACTTTTGATTTAGTAAAACAATTAAAATCTGATTGCATTTTCTAATTTTGTTTCATAAATTATCAATGAAACCGTATATATTTAAATTTTTTTATGGGGTGTTTACCATTACAGTAAAAAATCAAATATGGCTATTTCATTTTAAAATAAAGTTTTTATGTCATCCAAAAGTAAATATAAATTGGGATATTAATTATATTACTATTATAAGTGAACTGGTTAAATTATTATTTTATGTTTAAAATAAAATTAGTTTTAGGTAGAAAA